AATATATATATATATATATATATAAATATATATATATATATATATATAAATATATATAATGTATATATATACACACACATACACAATGTGAATGTCAGCCTGTTGGGCAAGGTCCCGCCCACTCTCATGTAACCACTCCCCATCCCTGCCTCTGGCTCCACCCATCTCAGGGGAACCCTCATGTCATTCATAAGGTGTCTCCCCAGATTGGGCTGTTTTGTTTCCGTGGCTTTGAACTACAAGCACATGAAGGAACGCGGTCGGTCCAGCGTGTCTGGCAGTGAACACGGTGGCCCATTATACCGGCACAGCGCCTCACTGCAGCGCATCCATCCCCCTCCGCCCCCGTCAGAACCGCACTGCAAGATCCCCCAGAACACAATGCAAACCATCCGGGTGCTTCCAGCTCTATGCGGACGATGCGGATTCTAATTAGGCAGATACAGAAGCCTTCCTTTTGTGCTGATTTGCTGAAATGTCAGTCTTGATCGGCATCAAGCCGACTCCCTGACAGGGGCTAGTGCTCTGATATTAATTATCTCCCTCCCCCTTTTTTCAGGTGGGCCTTACAGTGGTCTTGGGGAGACTGTTTACAGAGAGAGCGTTCCAATGCACACGTTTGCCAAGTACCTTTTCACCTCCCTGCTACCTCACGACGCCGAACTCGCATATAAGATTGGACTGAGAGCGATGCGGTGAGTACCTGCTGCCCACCATAGCAGAAGGTGGTGGGGTGGGGGTGGGAGGAGGGGGGGCGACGTCCAGAATGACTAGGGTTGGGGTTACAGCTTGTGGGCCGAGCTTCGTACATTCAGAGTAGCACGGGGGAGCGGACTCCAGAGAGGTGCCGGTGGTGACGGGATGCCTGACAGAGCCGATAAAGGCCCCCCTTCTTTTCCACATGTTTAGCAGGGTACTCACACGATGTGGGGGGGGGGAGCGGAAGGGGAATGCTGCAGTTTCGCTTTGAGAGGCGACGTAAGCTGGGACGCCGTCCGAAATCACAGGGCACCTTCCACGCGTAAAACTCGCTAAATAATTCATCGCTGTCGAAAATGAGTTTTTGGGAAACGTGTGAATAATGAATCTGTTTCAGGGGCTCTGCTCTGCTTTTGGGGGCCTTGGAGGGTGTCGCACTATTATTTTTGCTAATTCCGCCCCCCCCGTATCCACACTGGTCCCTGCTGCTCCATGGTCTGTATAAAGGCTGTAGTATTCCTCTGCTTATTGGCTTTGCAGCCTTATAAATACTCCGTTTTGTTTTGTCTTTATTGGCCTTTTTTGTGTCCTCAGTCAAGCAAAGCATTGGCTGAAATAGGTTAGCTGCACCCAGAATTATTATTAGTATTATTGTTATTATTGCAAAGCTTCATGCTCGTTAGGTGCCGTTCCCTCTCCCTGTTCGTACTCTGCATTGCGTGGCTTTCAGTTTGCACGTCACGCTTGATGTGTCTATGGTGACTCCAGGTGACCGAATTCCAGGTTGGGACCGTCATTCCAGCTCCGGGACGTGACCCATTGCTCTGGTGATGGTGACGGGCATCACACACAGCAAGACACATAAACAAACAAACAAATAAATAAAATTCCGTGAGCCGCCATGGCCCGGCGCCTGCCAAGCCAGAGACTCCGGCCCGCGTGTGTTTACGCCGTAGGCGTCAGGCCTGGGCCGAATGCTGGATAAATAAGCACTTTCCACCGAAAACGGGAAAGGCCCTTCCCAACCCTCCCTAACCCTCCCCAACCCTCCCTAACCCGCCCCAACCCTCCCTAACCCTCCCCTCCTTCACTGCTGCCCCGCTTTGTGTTCTGTAGGCACTGAACAGGGACTGGGCCAAATAAATGAATGTTAAACGGGCTTGAACGTGATTAATGGGTGCGGGTCGCCTTGGCTACCGGAACGCGCTCGTCCTGCAGATAAGGAAGGGGGCTGCCTGTCATTCTTCATGCAGCACGTTTCTCTGTTTTGTTTGTGCGACCTTGCGATGACAGTAAAATATCATTTGGCATAATGGGGGCAGGATCCTGTATCTAGGGCTACTCGAGCTCCAGGATGTCACCTCGACATGCCGTCTTTGAACCCGCACGTCCCTGGAGGGGGGGTGGAGAATGTAGCCGTGGTCC